CCCCCGGCCACAGCAAGGTGACAAGCCCGCCTTGCCTGCCATGGCCTCAGTGTGATTGCCAAGCATCCCCTCCTCTGTTCTTATGGGGTTCAGATCAGGTTGGGGACACATTTAGGGAGGGGACGCCAAACAAGGGCATCAGTGCCAGGTCAGGTGCCCAGCCGAGCCACCCCCGGCCACAGCAAGGTGACAAGCCCGCCTTGCCTGCCATGGCCTCAGTGTGATTGCCAAGCATCCCCTCCTCTGTTCTTATGGGGTTCAGATCAGGTTGGGGACACATTTAGGGAGGGGACGCCAAACAAGGGCATCAGTGCCAGGTCAGGTGCCCAGCCGAGCCATGTGCCCCTTGCAGAGCAAGCCGGGCTGTGTGTTGGTGACAAGATCACAGAGGTGAACAGCGTGAGCCTGGAGAACATCACCATGAGCAGCGCCGTCAAGGTCCTCACTGGCAACAACCGCCTCCGCATGGTGGTCAGGCGAATGGGCCGCGTGCCGGGCATCAAGTTCTCCAAGGAGAAGACAGCATGGTGAGCAGGGTGTCCCCCATGCCAGCACCCCAAAGCCCAGCCTCATGGAGGGCATGATGGGGAGGCTGGATGGGGGATGCTGGGAGACAGGGAGTATCCCAGAGCTGAGGAAGCTCTAGGGTTGGGGAGTGGGGACATTGGAGGTCTCTCCAATGGTGGGGAGAGCCCAGGGTGGGGCACAGAATGGAATAGGAAGGTCTGGAGCAGGCAGGGTGGGTGCAAGCCCCATCCTCAACATCACCCATCCCCATCACTCTCCTCCACTGGGTGACACTAATGGCCCCATCCTGCTGGAGGACAACAACCCCCCTACACTGTGCCCATGCTCCAGGGTGGACGTGGTGAACAGGCGGCTGGTGGTGGAGAAAAGCGGCTCGACGCCATCGGAGAGCGGCTCCGAGGCGGCTCATTGTCCATCTCTACACCACCTCTGATGACTACTGCCTGGGCTTTAACATCCGCGGCGGCAGGGAGTTCGGCCTTGGCATCTACGTCTCCAAGTACGGGCATCCTGGGGGGCATGAGGGGGACGTGGCCCCCTGATCCCCACTGTGCCTGTGCTGGGGCTTGGCCCCTCCTCCCTGGCTGAGCCCCCCACCCT